TTATGTAGTAACTTACATACAAGAATTTAATAGTAAAATGAAATGTAAAAACGATACTACTGTTTTAAAATATTAAATATTCCATTTATTTTACTCTAAAGCTTTTTTAATTTTATTGGTATGAATTTAACGGTCAGTTGCACAAACGTCCATTAAGGTTTAATGACATCTTTAAGCTGTCAAATTAGTATGGGTAATGTCGCTTTAAGCTATGCGACATTACCCATGGACGTTTGTGCAACTGGCTGTAAGTGTCCTACGTGTTCACTTAATCTAATATACTTCATAAATATGCTTCCAAGCAGGAAGCTAACAGTGCACCCTCTAACTCATATTACGGCTTGTAGCTACGCAAATAATAATTGATGCAATTTGCCGTGATGCGTCATGCGAATAACACCGAGGTGATACTCCATGTTTCCAGTTGTTGCAATACCATTATGAGGACATTTATAAATAAAGCACTACGTCGAATAATTAATATGTTACAGCCAAAATCTTAAGAGTACGCACGTAAAAAAATACGAATGCTTTATTCTCTGATAAAGACCAAAAGTTAATTCTCCGATGATTTTAAATAATTATAATATCGTTGACCTTTATTACATACTTGATCAAAATATTATATTCTACAAAGGTACTTATTTACATTCGATTTGTTACACAATTCATTGACAGTGTTTCTTTCCTGTCATTTCTTTGGGATAGAATAAAAAGGATAGCTGTCGTGGAAAAATGCATTTGATTTAAGAATGTGTTCAAAAGGACGAGCATAAAGGTAAACGCATCATTGTTGTCAGAGTGAAAAATATCATCCGAATGCATCTGTGATTTAGAAACCTTCAGAATTCTATCGACTGATCGATGGATTCGGTGCGAGTGTGCGCGTATAATTCGATTCTTTTACGTTCAGTGAGGACAGATTGGTTGCACCTTTGGAAAAACATCAACAAAAGTGCATAAATTTATAGATTTCCGCCAGAGGGTTCGCCCGCGTCCTATATTATATATCAAATCAACATTCCTCTTACATCACTCTGTATACTGATGAAAACCGCATTAAAATTCTTTGTTTGGTTCAAAAGATCTAAGCGTACAGACAGCGGGCAACGACTTTGTTTTATACAAAAATTGTACTGTACATGCATATAATTGATTATGATAATTACTCTGTTGAGTACACCTAATATTTCGGTAAATTTTCTTTCTTATCTCAGCAATTAGGAACTGTTATTTCTGAGAAAAGGTTCTAGGGTGATTATTGGAAAACTGTTTCGCAACTAAATTCTTCACAAATTCTTAGAAGAAATTAAATCCACTCATGTTCTTATAATACTCGTATTATAGTCGGTACATATTATATTAATACTTTAACACTTGTAAAAGTATTAAGATGATCTGAGGAATTCCAAAAGAGTTTCAGTTGTATTGAAACATTTAATGATTCATTTGTTTGTCCTTGTTCCAATTATTTTATTAAAGGCCAACGCCTATGTATATTCTTTACCCATGCTTTTCGATCAGCCGTCAAGTGACTTCTTGAATATTTAGACTTTTCTGTCACATCCAACTCTAAGCACATAATTTTATGGAAAGTAAACAATTCCACTACGTGGTGAAATTCGTGGGCTTTTCAGAAAATTCAACCCTCAAATTTATTAATACTGGGAAATCCGGGCAAGTCAATAAACTTGACTAAGGTGCTAGCAGGAAATCGGCTTATGGCGCGTGTTCGTTTTGTATAGTCCAAATAATCCTTTTCAATGGAATTTAAGGACGACCGCGGACGACAATAATATCATTAGGGCATGGAATTGAACATAAGTGATCTTTTCTAATGAGACAATTAGGACCACTTTTTAATGTAATCCCAGTATGTCAATTAAGTAGAGACGATTGTCAATTTACTTTACAATAAGTTTAAAGGTAAGAACGATTATATTCTTACTTTTAAACGAAGGATGAAGTAAACCAAGTAATTGTCTATTTAAAAATATTGTTATACTAAAGAACAATGCTTTTGAAAAATTTCAAAACAATGGCAGGAGTACAGTTACAGTACAGAACACCCACAATGCGAATTCAACAGCAACAAATCGTCCGCGAAACATTTGGCAGGCGGGCAAGTTTCGCCAATTGGGAAAGCGGAGAAAAAAGTGAAAGCGTGCAAGCGAGATGCCAATACAGCCGCAACGAGGGCACAGCCGATGTGACGTCACATAAGGTCAGTGTCAACAATGCAATTAATCAGAAAAACTGATTTAGTGTGGACATCACGTTTTTTAATTGTTTTTTGGACCTTTAGTTGATTTGAAAATTAATTTTAAAATAAATTCAGAACAATATTTAGCAAAAATATTGCCTATAATCCCAATAGATTAAGGGTAAGAAATCTAATATAAATTTCGAAGTATCTATACTCTAGCAATATTAGTCCTATCAATAATGTAAAGAATAATTTTGTTGAGATTGCTTGAAAAGGAAATTATTGGCATGCTTAATGCCAGATATTAATAAGTTTAAGCATATTCAAACAAAAGAAATAAGTATAGGTAAGCAGTAGGTACGCAGTAGGAACAGTCAACATTTTCAACTAGACTAAGCTAGCTTGTATCCAACAATGTTGGACAGTAACTTGTGCATAAAGACCCTAAGAACACTTAACTGTAAAATTAATAAGCTCACAAGACAGAAATTACCTACAAATATGGTAAATGATTCAATAATAAGACAACTATGATGGATTACACTAAACAAAGACCAAATAAAAATTATTTTTCTTATTCTTATAGATAAGATAACATTGTACAAGCTGCAATGTTATCAGTATTAAAAGGTAAAATGATTACAGCATTTGTAAAGACTCAGACTGGCAGACTATTGAGATATTTTATCCTAAAACATAATGTTACAAGAAAAAAAAATTAGGATCAGAACAGCAACATGTGTAATCAATTATTAGAAATACAAAACTTATTTTGAAGGCTTGACCTATAATTATAATTTTGTCTTTACAACCTTCTATAAATTATAATTTTGTTTTCTTGGTATATTTCTTTGTACTTGCATAAACCAGAATATAACCTATACCTATGTAATAACAATATTTTTTTGTCAATTGTATAGGTACTTGAATTAATGAAATAATGAATGAATACATTATATTGCATACAGTTACACAAATACATTTATAATCACAACCAAACTCAAAAGGCGACCTTATTACTAAGGTAGCAATTTCTTCCAGGCTACCCTTGATCAAAGGAAATAATACCAATTAAAGAAACAGGTAAGTACTGGGTTAATCTATGATAAGAGTAAATATACAACATACTACAAAAGGGAAAAAAAATACACATAGGTACATATTCTTAAAATTAACTACCTATTGAATTTTTAATTATTATGTGTTCTTAACCACTGTAAATAGTATATCATTTTTTTATCACTTTTCAAAAGAATTGAGGATTTGTTAACATTTAGTTTTTATTAATAAGAAAACATTTGACATTGCTTATATATTCATATTCTATTCTACCAGTAGCTTATGTAAGATCTGATTATATCAAACTTAATTTGTTGCATCCACAGTTACTGCTTTTAGTGACTTAGTATAATTGATTTACATCCACAGTGGGCAACAGCAGGCCCGCAAGACAATTTGAAAAACCTAATTATTTCAGGTCTGATATCCATCACAAAAAAGTATGAGCACTACAACACTACTATAAAATGTACTACTTTTAAATGCAGCCAGCGAAACCCACAACATGTCCAAGGTTGCCCATACCTGCTTTACATCCTAATAAAAACAGTCACAAATAGTCCAAAATATAGTCAATTTCAAATCAATTTACTCTATCAATTATTTTCTTAACATTTTTACTGATAATTAAATCTTCTTTATTCTTTAGCTTAATTAATATTATGAAGTTGCTGAGATAGCAGTGTTTATAGAACCTAAACATTTCAAATCAAAAGCAAAATAATTCATTCAGTTTGCACTCGTGAAAAATTATATCAGTATACAAATCAATAAAAGGAGACTTTACACTAAAGTAGTGAGATGTTACAGTAATAACACAAAACAAGTATTATTTTGCTCAATTGAGATCCACTGTAAGTCAATATTGATTCTTAAGGGACACATAACTTACTGCCCATAATATGGATCAATTTTTGTGTCAGTACTTATGACACTGTTCTAACTGTTTACTAGAATTATGATATATGCTCATCAATCAATTATAATTTCTTTAAATCACTTATATTTTATATGTCCCCCCCAATAGATAAATACAAAGAGAATGTTATTTATCATTTAGAATGTAATCTAATATTAAAGCAAAACAACTGTTAAATGGTGCAAAGGTATCTATGCTTCAATATCTGTCTAATGAGCATGAAACCTGTAAATGTCTACAATTATGCAAATTTAACGAAAAGATATATTGCACAGGCACAGAATAATGCATAATCTAAAATATATATTCTCTTTCTGTGTAACAACATAGACTAGTTGTCACATAAAGTTTGTCATCTGCTAAGGAGGTTTTAGAAAAATTACATTTTTAAGTACTTATTTTAACAGTGGAAGCAAGTACCAAGAAACCTAATCGATATGGTGCTCCGGATTATTCTCTTATTCTCTTTATTAAAAATGTTCATAACAATATTAAGTAATTACTTTCCAAAACACTAAAATAATTTTAAATCAATCAATTTCATCGACCTATTTCCAATAAACAAGGAAATGAAATATATATTGAGTCTATTTAACAAGCAGAACAATGGTAGGTAGAAGGAAAATCAAATAGAAACACCAATTGATGCATACCAATATGTATCAACAAAGGACGTCAAAATGGAAATAAGGCAAATTCAACGTAGGGTGATACGTTGTTAGAGCATTTACTTTCTAGGTGCTATCTAGAGCAAACTAAAGCAATATGTAAGGAAAATTACTAGGAAAAAATAATATAAATAATTATTTTACGAACCTTTGGTTTGTAGAACCACTTTCGCAGCGACTCCATTGGACCAGTTTTGTATAACAACCTCATATGAACGTTTCACTGTACCACTTCACACATTATAAAACTGAGATAGCACCAAAAATCACCACGTATAAGCGATTAGAACTAATATTATAGCCAATATTTACGTCAAATAACACAAACGGCAGACATGTTTCCACGACTCGCGTTCACGTTTTGATTTATTGAACGAATGAATGAATGAAACTTTTTTGTCTATACGCAATGAATGATAGATAGAGATGCACGAAAAGAATCGAACCCTAAATAAATCGATTATTTTGATACGATACCAAGAACTTTTGGAACTTATAATTTTATTCTCATTTTTCTTGTTACCTCATTAGTATAAATAAAATAACGAAATTAGGGAATACATATTAAACATGATAAAACGGACAATTCTCACTCACAACTAAACTAATACTTTGAGAATTTGCAAAAAATATTTATATTGTAAAATGAATTTAGTTATCAGGCCTATGAGGAAGTATTTTAAGAAAAAAGAGAAAGCACTAAAACAGCATCTCACTAGATGGCGACTCTAGCAAAAGTTGATTTTTGCAGGAAACGAATGGATCAAAGATAGTAATTTCCGTTCCTTTCAACTAACATATTAAAATACTGAAATTTGCAAAATTCGAAACTTAAATATCATAACAAATATGAAAAAGTACAAATAGAATATGAGTAGTTTATTGAGTTTTGAAAATTAATTTACTTTTATGCATCAAAGAAAACCGGAAGGGTTGTCATGGAGAAATAAAGAAAATATCGTAGCGACATCTACTTTGTTTTGGGAACTAATTTCTTTTTTAATACTTCCTCTTGCATTACAAAATTACACTCAGTGGGATTATATATTCTGGGGTATTGTCTATGAAATTCATTCTGACATTATAAAGGTAAATTGAGTATCCGAAACTAATAAATATGACATCGTTTCGTGTTTCTTATAATATCTAACTTTCAAATTAATTTTAATTTATTTGAATCTTAATTTTAAGTATTTATTATATTACGTGTAAAGGAACGATGTTTGGTTTATATATTAGTGATGTCCTTACTTATTGGGTGCTCGTAACTTCAATTAAGTCGATTTATTCATGTCTACTTTTTTATGTCTACTTTTTTAACAGGCAGTAGGTAGTAAAAATTTTTGGCATTTTGTTTTTCCTTCATTATTTCCATTAAACTAATGTACTACTTTAGTGATAGAATTGTTCACATCGTCATTTAGAGGTAGCCCCCTTTAATTAAAAACAAAAGTGAAATAATTATTATTATATTTTAAATCTCAAAAATCAGGCCCCGGGCTTAGGTGACTGGACCCTGGGCAAATTGTCTACTGGCGCCCCTTTTATTACTATAATGTAAAAGCAAATAATCTATGTTACTTATACTTTATGAAGAAAATAACAAGAAAACACGTCTTTTATACACAAACTGTAGACATTTATTTCTACATAATTCACACTTCCAGCAAAGATTACAACTTAAAATTATATTTTTAAGACAATTTGTTTCTCTCATTTATTTTTCTCTGTTTCTCTCTTCAATTTTCTGAACAGAAAATCGAAAGACCGATATTGGTTTTATTATAAACCAAAAACTTTCTTATAATAATGAAACATTCAAATATAATTTTCACAAAGCAAACTACAACATTTATCTACAGAGAGCTTGAAGAGTTGAAATGGGAGGACTTGTTTGAAAAAATCGGAAATGTAAATGAAATGGTTCAAATATTTTACAATAACATTCAAAACATTTGTGGCGACTGATACATAGCGACATCTAAATCATCGCACTAACATCGCCACAACAATCGATAGCGAGAAGAACTAGCATTGACACAGCCATCGATAGCAAGACGAACTGCAAGAAGTTTCAACACCAAGTAACGAGATGGCGCTGAACCTATACAAACATCATAAATTAATAACTACAAGGCAATTAGAACACAGAAGCCTACATCGCCCACAATAAGTTTCACTACCAATTAGCATAAATAAAACGTCCAACCTCGATTACTAGGACCGTGGTCCCCGGGCTAGCAACACCTAGCTCCGGAGGGAGACAATTATCCTTTAGTCTCCCTGGCCAGTTGTCTCCATCACTGCAGAAGGAACCACACATTCAATCATAACGGGTTCCTAAACATTATTGATAAAAAAAAAATCCTAAGAAAAAATAAAGAAAACTCAATGGTTTGGTTTTAGAACACAGAAGCCTACATCGCCCACAATAAGTTTCACTACCAATTAGCATAAATAAAACGTCCAACCTCGATTACTAGGACCGTGGTCCCCCCGGGCTAGCAACACCTAGCTTCGGAGGGAGACAATTATCCTTTAGTCTCCCTAGCCAGTTACAATTATCCTTTAGTCTCCCTGGCCAGTTGTCTCCATCACTGCAGAAGGAACCACACATTCAATCATAACAGGTTCCTAAACATTATTGAAAAAAAAAAATTTCCTAAGAAAAAATAAAGAAAACTCAATGGTTTGGTTTGATTATAAATTAAAGAAGTCTGTAAGAAAAATAGAATTAATAATGATAACTTCGCGCTGCTCAGGGTTGGCTGCTGATTCCTACAGTAGAACACAAATTATCAGGAAATCTCAAACTGTGGTTCTACATTAAATCTAAACGCAACGGCGTAAGTTCTAAATTTAAATTTAAAAAAAAACGTATCGTTTCGTCATTGCGATCTTTCTTAAAGGATGGGTCGTATCATATACGGGGCCCTTATGTTGAACTTACAATTAGATTTATAATGGAAGGTGTGCAGAAAATACCTTATTTGTTACCTCAATTCATCTCCTTCATGGTCTTGCCTCGATTTTGAATTATTACATTTGATTAATTTTGCATTCACAATTTTGAATCTGAATTTAATATTATTAACATAGTATTATCACATGTTTACATACAACTGGTGTAGGTAAAAAGTTTCTCGAATTTGTCATGCTACGCAAATTGGAATATATTTCACTTGACGTATGAACTTTGGCTAAAAGTGGTACCAAAATATAATATATACTTATTGCGTGGTACAATAATTAAAAATTAAACCGCCCAAGTGCAAGTCAACTTGGATGAATAATAACGTACAATTACGGCAGATTTTTAAATGTTAAATGGCTGGTATTCAGAGTGGTAAGTGTAAGTTTTACGCTAACGCGTTCACTAGTAGGGAATGCAATCTCGTTCTTGCTCTTCGAGATCTCGGCCTTTTTTAAAGAGATTGATCTCGGACGAAAAATGGACGAGATCTCGCGAGTTTAACGAGATTGCACTCGAGCATAAAAACGATTTATTCTAATTGCAGCAGCGCGAATTTATGCGAGTTCGGGGTGTTAAAAGACGAAGTTTTAAACTTTTACAGTACTTGTGTTTTCGAAAGGGTTTTCTTAGTGGCTGGTTATCTCGACAGCACAATAATAAGAGGAACAACAAAGATTCTTTGGACATTTTGTGCTTCTTAAGAAGCTACTTTCAAAATTATTCATATTAATGACGTGTGAAGTGAAGTGAATAAGCCTTTAAATTGATTCATAAATTTTGTTAATTTACTCTCTAATTTCTAACAGATCTCTGGGTACATATAGTTTTTTTTCATTGATAATAATCTCAGTTTAATAGTCGATTCATCTTAGTTTTATTTAAGTTTGTGTATAAAAAACTGTGTATTATAATTAAACTTTTGTTTGATAATAGCAGAGAAGACTGGTTGTTTATTTCATTATGTATTTGATAAGATACGTCTAAGTTTAGTTTCTTAGAAGATTCGCACCTGGATGTAGTCATCCAGTTGCAAATATATTTATTTTATAAAAGTACCGAGTAAAGTTTAGTAGATTTACTATGTACTTTTATAAAATAAATAATTAAACCTAACTAAATCGATTTATCGCCTCTGAAAGCCCCTGCATACTTAATGTCATGAAAATGTTGGAGTCGTTTTCAAGATTATAATACAGTAATTGTTTATTTAAAGGGTTTAGATAAAAAAATATAATTGTGTCAAACAATTTGAAATACATAAAACTTTATTGAAAATACCCGTAAATAAATCCTTATTTCATAATACCTATAATTATTTCCTAATTTATTCAAATATTGTGATTTGAATAAACAGTAAACAAACAAAAGTCCCAATCTCGCGAGATCTCGTAATTGGCGAGATCTCGCGGTATTGATAGTCATAAACTCGCGGGATTTCGCCTGAGTCCCAATCTCGCGAGATTGCATTCCCTATTCACTAGTGAGCGCGTTAAGAATTTGTATGGAGATTTGTAGTTCTTGGCAGTTACCGCTAGGGGCGCTGTACCGAATTCCATACTAAAATTTTAACGAGCTCACGATCAACAGTGAACGTAAACGTCAAAGAGCCACGGTCGGTTTCTGAATTGAGAAAAGTATAAAACCTCAACTGATTCAAATACTTAAGTTTTTTACGTTTCACATGGCAAAAAGTCCTTGTTTTATAAAATTGCTAAAAACAGATCAATAAAAAATTATAAATCAGAAATGAGAAACCTGTCTAAATGACGTTTAAAACGGCTTTAACATGGTTTGAGACCTGCTCAACTTCAAATTTTCAATTCAGAAACCGGGTGTTACTAAAAAACAACCGGGTGTTACAATAATTTTATCGAAATATCGTAACTCCAACCACCTACGTACTTCGCATTCAGCAAATCCTTATATAATATTAAGAGGAAAGATTTGATTGTTTGTTTGCATTGATTAAACTCCGAAACTACTGGAGCGGTTTGAAAAATTCCTTCGTCTAAAGGAAGCTACATCACACGCGTTTGCGATAGGCTATAATTTACATGGCTGAAGTTGCGGGACAACAGCTAATGTTTATATAAATGACCAAATTATCTTTGACAATTTTAAAGTATACTAACCTATCTCAAAAAATACTGTCTGTTATCATGCACAAAGCGATTTTGTGTTAAGTGAAAATTTTTAGAATTTTCACTCTTATTTTTAGTCAACCTCAATATTTTTTT